TTGATTTCTGTGGGCTTGAATGGTTACACGTGTATGTATACAAATCTGTCCTTGTCAACCAAAAATAAATAATTTTATTTTTGAAAAAATTATATTTCTCTGATTTCTGATATTTAATATAACTAATAGATGTTTGTAATAAGTGGAAGTGGTGGTGGGTTCAAGTACCGAATAACGAGTACAGGCAACCAACAAGGTTGATCTTGTTGTAACTGTGTGTGTAGCACTGATCCCTTTTTTACGCAGACCAGAAAGTTAACCCAAGTACCCGTTACCAGTTAGACTTCGTACATATATATCTATGAAACCCAGCCCAGCAAGTTGTAATTTAAATGGGCTCATTTTTGGAATCAGTTTCAGGGCCAGCTTTGATTATTAGTTTGTCGACAATAGTCCCACGTTCCGAGTAAATGAAAATGTTGAGGAAGCCGAATTAATCTGAAGCGTTAGATTAGGGTTCAAATCTCATTCTTCACGATAATATTTGAATTTTAAATTGTTTCCAATCACGAATAATCAAATCCCACTCTCTACGTGATATGGATTATGCTCACAATATCATTTAGATACATCAAGAATGCATCTAAAACGATGCTTAATGGATGGATGGCCATAAATTAGTGATTTATGTGATCCCATTTAATGGAATAGACTTTTAGCACAGCCGAACCTTAGGCAGACAATCAGTTCGATTAATAAAGGATATAGTATCCTCGTATAATGCCACAAATTATATAGATTGCTATGTTTTACCAACCAACTCCAGATGATTGTACTCCCTAGTCCCCGCCCGGTATTCCTGGCAAGTCGTAGGTAAGAGGTTCATCATTTGGTACAGGAAGAAGAACAGGACTCGGCCTCTGATTACATCCTAGCGTCAGGCCAGCATAAAATAATTTTATCATCATTACTCACAATTACAACGTTAAACTACTCATTACAGCCATCCCACAAAGGAGACGATTTGAAACACTTACACTACTGACCGTCCAATTTTAATTAAGTTAGAAATCAATAATCGGGTAACTACACGTAGAAATATGATGAAATTTCAATGAAAAAATGAACCAAACTGACCGGGATGGTTCCACTAACTGCTTCACCACCAGTAATCTTTTATCTTTCCCATCTGTAAATCAGATAATAGAAAGAACACTAATCATACACAGTTGACAGTAGTAAACTGCCTTGTTTAGGGAGAGTAATACAAAACTTTTAAGGAGAGGGCTTGGCTGAGGTCATTTTTCACAATAATCTTCTGTCCATAAGTTGTAGGTGCAGTATAGAATGCAGGGGGTCAAAAAAGGAAAAGGAAGCAACCAAAACCAGAAGAAAATATAGTCATATATCATCTATTTAAATGTGCAGACAGCCAAATTTCATCGTTGTACTGTGATTAGGAACCAAACATTTTTTGCATCTGGAGGATCAACCTTCTAGTCAAACCATATACAGCACGCTGCAACTCAACTCTCTACTCTATCAAATACAGACAGCAGTTCACCTGCAACCACACAAAAAACATATATACACATTACAACATAATTAGATATAGATCAAACGACACAATCATGTGAGCTTGACATGCCCTTCTTTTTCCCCCCACAAAATTCCTTGAATAAATATGACCATAGAAGGAAGACTTCTGAACCCTACCTGCTGATTTCCGAACTCCCATTTTTCTTGCCCCATTTGTCCGGGAGTTCGATCCTTACATCAGGCGGCCCATCGCGAACCAGTTATCTTATGAGTCAATCCCATCCTCGAGTACAATGCCAACCCAGCTGCACGTTTGTCAGTTCAAGCATTCCCAACCAAGCGAACCTCTATGCATGCAAAAGGCATTACATCCCATATGTTCTGTTATAGAGATCGCCCGAACTAGGCAGCCGAAACTTCGACTCCTCGTAACCACTATAAAACTTGTTAAAACCCAGTCTTTCATTTCTGAGAAGCTCTGCCACACCCATGCTGTTTGCATTCTGGACCTCATTCCATCCACCATTCCAATGACCATTGGAAATCAAGGAATTTCTGGATTGTTGGAGAGAAAGTCGGGCCAACGGGGATAGATTGCTCCCATGTGATTGATCCATCAGCCTCGAAGAAATGCCATAAGAATCATTGAGAGAGGAAAAGCTGTTCCCCGTATCAGAAAATCTAAGGTTCTGATGTGGAGAGAGAGATCTCTGCATCAATAATTGAAGTCTTGCATCGTTTTCAAAGGCATTTAACTGAGGGGGGTAATTTGACCTCATATCTAAGCCTGCATTGTTAAGTGCACCTTGAAGCCTTCCTTTCCCAACAGCCAAAATTGCAGGGTCCATAAATTCAATATCCCCATTACCACCAACATTTCCACCTGGTGATGTATGATATGAGTTTCTCAATAGAGGGGAAGAATCCAGCAGGCGGTTCCCTACAGAGGACAGTTTAAGATAACTTAGTCCATTTAACAGCCACCACTTATTTATGACTTTACAACCACGATCCAAGAGAATCGTATAACAAGATAAAACCCTACCAGTGGTGTCAAATGCCTGGTCCACTCTATCATGAGAAGAGAAGCCTGGAGGTGGAGATCTACTTGGAACAGAGAATCCAGGTGGTGCTGAAATCTGAGCTCTAGTAGCTGCTGAATGAAATCAGAAAAATTATTATAACTCAGTAAAAACCACACCTCTAAATGAAAAAATAAAAGTTGTATAAGAAACTGAATTTGTTATCGAAAAAAAAAAAACAAGCGAAGTTATAGACCAACAGTAAAGACCTATCTTCGAATTAAATTGTATCCTAAAAAAATTTGTAGAATAAATGATCACTCTAACTAAAATGACTAAAATGCCCAGACACAAAATCATCTAAAAGCACACAGCTCTCACAATCCACGAACAGCATCAGAGAATCTCAAGAAACACAGCCCTGGACATGCATGGCAAAGTGGCTATTTCCAAGAGAACTAAAAGAAATCTACAGAATTAATCCAGAAACCAAACAATTACACACTTGCACCCAAAAAAATCAACACTCCAAAAAATTCTTTATTTCTTTCTTACTGGAACCAACACTAAATCTAGACACTCATCAAACCTTACCTCTAAATTTCATTGTGTTTAGCCTCAAATTCATTTTACCTCACCCAACTATCACAGGTAAAGGGAGTGTTCTCCACACATACACAATGGAGAATCTTTTAACTTATGGTCCTCAATCTCCTGCCTGACACCTTTTAACATGCACTATCCCATTCTATTCTTTGCACTTTCTTTCAAGGAGATAAATCATAAATGCACTTCCCTTATGTTGAAGAAGATGAATCACTCTTACAAATATATACTTGAACAATAAGGATTTCATCGGGAATGTTTCTCACAAGTGACAACAAGATTAAACTTCTCGTAAAATATCTGATACTAATACAATCGGTGGCTTATGTTATTAAGTTACTCTAGTCCAAAACCATCTAGGATAATGGCAACTGCAGCATACTGTTGCTTTCTGGCTCATATTCAAAATTACTACTTAAAAAATAAGTCACAGTTTGCTATTTTCAAGCCTAAAGCATTTCTTATTTTGGGGGTATTCTTGTAACGTTGGGCTTTTACCTTCCTCATTTAAAGGAAAAACTCTAGTTGAAAAAGAGTTATTCAGCAGTGAAAATTTTAGCAAGCAGCTCCATTTAGTGGGCACATCATCCAACCAGACAAAAATTCTCTTGTATTCTTTATTTCACAATTTACTTGAATTTGAGCGTACTATAATATTTACTTTACAACTAGAAAATGAAATTAATAAATGGTAAACTGAATTAAAATACTCACCGGAAAGCTTATTAGAAGAGAAAACTGAATGACTGCCAGTAAAGTTGTCAGACCCGAACTCACTGGATGAGAAACCATTGGAAATCCCCAGCCTACCAAGATATTGATCCCGGTTTTCCGCAAAATCCTGAGGAAAAGGTCGATTTCTTGATAAATGTCCGTAGACATTATAAGACTCAACATCAAGTGCTGGATTTTTGGAGTCTTCTTGTCTTGCAAAAGAGAATCTTGATTGATTGTTATTTTGACCTTTCCAAGAGTTTGAAAGTTTGAGAGAACTGGTCTGTCTATCAGTTTCACCCAACAATTTAGCTAAGTTCTGAGGTGAAGCTAAGGATTCATCCCATGAATCAAAGTCCAGGGACAATATATTTGAGATTATGCTGCTCTCACCATTATCAACAATTGTATTACTCTCAGCATCACCCAGAAATCTTTCCATCTGCTTTCCTTTCCCTTCACTAGGAAGTAAAAAGGAATGTTCTATACCCAAATCAGAACCAACTGAAGCACCAACCATCTTCTCGCAATATCCATTTGATAGATGTAATTTATCACTACCTCTACTGTCATAGAAAAGAGGATCAGGATTTAAAGTACCTACACCAGCACCCTCACTATGTTGCGCAGAAAGAGTAGCTGAATTATTAGTAACATGGAGCAAATTGACTGAACTAGGTGAATAAACTGAATGGTTCACGACCTCTGGATCCTTGAGTCTCTGACTATCAAATGATAGTATATCCTCCTCTATTTCAGAATTTACATTTGCTGCCACTTCGGATTGCAAGTCAGTTCTCCAATCACACTCTGCTCTTGAATCACAGATTTTATTTACTGATGTAGGAGATTTCCCTGCTGTCACAGGGATTGACGGTTCTTTATACTGTTCAATATAATGTTGCAATCCTCCATTCATATGATCAGGATGTGAATTACTCGACACAATAACCCGAGAATCATCATTTCCAACATCCATATTCACACTCAACGATGAAATACCGACACATAATTCATGTATGTTTGAATCAGTTTCTGTATTTCCGTCCTTTATAGGTGTGGATCCAAAAGGCTGCGGGCCATGGTCAAAAGAGTTAACATCATTTGGTTGGATAATAATGGGTCTATTATACTTGGAGACTGGTGAGCAAGACATCTGACTGCCAGAAAGGGCACCATCAGGCAAAGCAGGTTTCTCAGACACAGCAGTATATTGTGTCATAGGCTTTAATGACTCGGGTTTGCTTTTGAAATTGGTTTGGATCTCTTCATTTACTGGCTTCTTTAATATATCACCATGTGATATGAGTAGCTGAGTTGTGTTTCCAGCTGCAGATGAGAATGGCAAAGCTCCACTGACTGCAGCAGGTTTTTGCTTGGGAAGTCCATTCAAACAAACTGTACTAGCCACCAACGGTTGGCTTGAAGCACGCATCCCCCTGTAATATGCATTCGTGATCTCAGAGACTATTAAGTAAAATATATGAAGGAAATACGCTGTGAAAAACCATACCATGAAGCTGCTGCAGGTAGAGCGATAGATCTACCAGAGCTTCCATTTGGTGGAGAACCTTTAGTAGTGCTTGCTGTATTTTGCTACACATGTAAAAAATACAAGATACATATAAGTACAAATATAAGCAAGTATCAACCAGTGTCATGTTCAACTAAGCATAAGAAAAGCAAATAAATTGCATGGAGGTCATCGCAGTAAAAAGAAGGCATAAATATATGTAAACTCTCTATATGCACAAATTAAATCAAATAACAAACAGATTACCAGAAAATCACGTGTTTCAAAGAAGCATATATATGTACAAAACTGACCCAGTCATAGTTAATACTAAGATCACTTACACTTGAACTACTTTTAACAATTGGTTTTGCCGGGGAACTGTTATTGCAATAATCATCAATAGGAGGAGGTAATACATTCCCTGAACGTCGCTGCAGATTATTTGTTGCACCAGTAATTTGTTGAACTCTACTCCTTTAAAACCACTACGAAAGTTAATTAGTTATCCATAAAAAATACCAAATTAGTTATTCAAGTATAACTATACCAGAGATCTCAGTTTAGTGAATTAACATATGAGAGTTTGAATTTTTAATAAAACATAGAACAAGTGAGTCTAGCATGCACCAATTTATTAGTTTTGGAGAAGAACATACACCGTTAGTTCGATAAATACAGATGCACATCTTTGTGACTTAGCACACCTAATAAAACCTCTAATCTAAAAGCAAATACTACTGGAGGGATCTAAGCCATTTTTACCCCACATATTGAAAGAGATGGTCAATAACTGACTATAAAATACTGAAAACGAAGACAGATCTAAAGTGAGATCAGGCAGAATGATATAAATATACCTTGTGTAGTCCGAAATAATCTCGTCTTTAGTGAAACTATCCTCTTGGGAACCAACTTCATGGAGATATAAACAATCAGGATTGGTGCATGGCTGGACAGAGACAAAAGCAATCCAGGTTAAATTAACTGAGTCATTTTTCTAAGCATGAAGAAGTAAACAATTCATATATGAAAAAAGGGGGAAAAAGATCCAGCTACACTAACCACATTTCTCAGCCATGCATGACAATATTTTGTAGTCCCAAAACAAGCCCTGGAAAATACCCCGCATAAGTTACAAACAATTGTATTAAAAAAAAAAACAAAATAAAATGCCTTTACAATAAAGGTAAATGAATACATATACATACTTTAAGGATCTACCATCCAAGACAAACCCATGTACAGACTGAATACATCGAACTGCCTCCTCCTCCTTCGCATAAGTAATATATCTGAGAGCAAAGACAATTTTGTCATCCAAAAAAATCAAACATAAATAATAACAAACCCAACAATATGCAAAATCAATGAGTAAAAGGCATGAACATCATATGAGTAAAAACATGCACTCAGAAAACTAAATGCACGTCCCACTTGAAGTTAAACAGATCAAGTGAATTTTGCTAGGAAAATCTCATATAAGAGATTACCATTAATGTATTCACACAAATGCTGAGACTTACACACTACAAGTATTATTCGGAAACTGTTGGATCACGCCAGCTGCAGTGCGAGACATTGAGACTTTCAAAACTCTCCCATATTGACCAAAATATTCTCTACGCTGGAGAAGCTGCCAAAAAAATACACCATCAAATTTATATAGCAAGACTGAAAATGTGGGTTTAAGTACATGCAAACTGGAGAGAGAGAGAGAGAGAGAGAGAGAGAGAGAGAGAGAGATTTACATCTTCATCTGCCAAATTAAGAGGCAGACCAACTATGTATACAAGATTCCGCTGGATAACTCTCACACTGCTCAGTTGCTTCCTTCCATCAGATGATTTATTCTTAGCCTTCTGTGACTTCTTCCGCTCCATATTGATTTCAGCCACCAATCTGCCATTATTAGAACAAACAATAAGAGAGAGAAAAATAGAGTCCAAAACCAACCATGTAAGTTGTTCACCTAGCAACAACCTTTCACAATTAGAAGCCATCCCTACAATCTTTTCTTTGTCATAAGGTGCACGGCATGCTGGACACAGCCCCTCTATGTCATCTTTCTCAGCCATGTCCATTATATAGTGCCAACACCATACACATATCTGCAATTAAGACACTTCAATCAGACATTTAAACAAAATAGGTAACAGATAAGATCCAAGAAAAAAAACATGACAATAACTTGGTCCAGGAAACAGGAAAACCTAGAGAACAAAGAAACAAGTACAACTTCAGGACTGAAATCTACACACAACCGAGATGAGTGGTATTCCCTTGGTTCGCCCCCACCAAAATCATGCTACAAATTTACAAGAACTCCATGAAACAGGACAGATGAATTTCACATAAGATCCGACATGATCATGCAGTAAAAAGAAAACTAAAAATAAAGAATTAAGAAATGGTTATCAACAAACAATATATGGAAGACATATCACGATTAAGGTTTCACACCAATCACTGAGAGAACTAAATTTTTAGTATTTCTGTTATCCATGAAAGAGTGGGTTCTAAATAAGGGCACACAGCACCAAGCAGCAGATAATAGATGTTTTGGCGACGTGAGATAGATGTTTTGGAAAGATAAAACTACAGTGAGGAAGATGGACACCCTCTGAAAATCAATGTTATAAGAAGAAAAAGAATGTTGATGGTAACTAAAAAGGTCTTATTCACTTGCATTGTTATAAGACTGATTTTAAACACCAGAAGACATGGGTGCAAGCGTTTATAGTTATTGGATTATAACATATCACAAGTAAAAAAATCTGCATTTGAGCTAGGTGAAAGGACACGCATACCTCATAGCCACACTTGCAAGGCTTCAATTGCTGATCAGTCAGATCCATCTCTTCGGCACAGAGAGGACAAGTCTTTTCTCCCTCGTCACTCATGGTTTGCCTAAATAAATCCAAGAATTACGAAAAGCAAGCAACATCAAGCATTTAATTGATAATAAACAACGGATAATCTAAAAGGCCCCTAAATCAAAAGGTATTTTTACTTAATCCATTAGCAACCAGCTAAAACAAGTGTAACTATACAGCTAAGTTCGATAATACTTTTAACAAATCTAAAATTGAATTTCTTTTCATTTCCTAAACACACTCCTATCAACTTAATTATTTCAAAGTTCCACGTCTACATTAGACAAACTAAAAACATCCTTCACAGAATGATAAAACCCTAGGCCGTCACTGCCCCAATCTAACCAAACACATAAGCACGATCCCCAAGAGCTCACACCTATCGCAAATCAAACTCTAATAACCACACTAACTTATCGAACCCCCATTTCCTCCAAATAAATTAAAATCTCCGCACATATCCTCCAAAATTCACATACAAATCAAAATTTCAGATCAATTTCAATAACTCGATTTTCAAAAATAAAAATAAACACTCGCATGCAACAAATAAATAGAAGACCGAAACAATCAACAGCCAAGACGAAATCGTAACATGAAAAATCGGCTAATAAATTCCAAAAATCTGAACAAGTGGCGCCGGTAAGTAAGATTGTTGATAAAAAAAATTAGAGATCTCATCAAATGATCGGATTATTGGAGGACATAAATGGAAAATTAGGGTTTCAGATTGGAGATTTATAAAATTATTTAGAGAGAGAAACATATAGATATAGAGAGAGAGAGAAGGTCATACAGTTAGGAGATCGATAAGAAGGCGAATCTGTGAAGAAGATGAGATTGTGAAAACAAAAAGCTCAGACAGAGAGATAGAGATACCACAAGGTAAGAGAAAATGAGAAAACCACAAGGAGGCCTTTAAAGAGAGAGAGAGAGAGGGGGCTCGTTGTTTGGATGGCTGTTTTTTGGCTGCTGGCTTTTCCTCTCTCCTCCGCGTCGCTGTCATTTATATATTGCAGAGTGGTAACTTTTAGCCTTCGATTTTGCGTTTAATTACGCAAAATACCCTTCGCACCCCTCCGGCTTCGTCGTCTATCATGAAACGGGGCGGGCTCCAATATGGGTTGTGTCTCTTGGTTAAAGCTGCGTAGTGCTTTAGATATGCGCCACGTGGTGAATCAACCTGATCGGACGGTTATAATGATTTGTTTGTCGGTCCCAGTTTACAATACATGGTTGCACTTGAATTTGTTTAGTGTTTAGAGCTCTCTTTTCGCTATTTAGCAAAAAAAATCATAAACATGATAATTTTTGGATTCAGTTTCAATTTATTGTTACTACAAAAAAAAATTATTAATTAATTTTTTTAAAAAAATAAATTATTCCCTTATTATGCTAATTTATTATTTTAATGTTTGGTATACTTATTATAATACAATAAATTTTTTAAAAAAATTGTTATAATATATTTTAAAATTTTATTAAATTATTTTAATACATAATATTTTTATATATCTATATAAAATTTAGACATGATGAACAAAAATTTCATAACAAAAATTTGTAATTACATATTGATATTGACAAAATTATTGTTTGTTTATGTATTTAATCCAATATAAATAATGAATGATTATGGTTAA